TAAGTTCCTCATCTGAACCGAAGAACTACATTAGTTCCTTACATCTCTCTGTATGATATGGTGGATATCCATATTATTAGAGCATTTTCCAGTGCATGCATTGCCCTGTAATGTCCGATTGGAAACTATCCTGGAGATGGAGTAGTTCAATCGTAGCCATCAATACTTCTCTCTGGGAGACGACACTCTGAGAGTTGGGGGGAACAGATCCCCAAACCTTTCCTAAGATCCATCTACATTGATCTTTACTATCTCCTTGCTCTATGACCTCAATATCCTTACGGTCACTTATTTGGCAACCTTTTGGTTTTCACATGTTAGAGCCTGCTTGAAAACCAGCAAATGAATAGTAGCCAAGTGAACCACTTATCCTGCAGCTAGGAACTTTTTCCTATTACCACTTTGCTGCGTGTAGACAACCAATGCCACAAGCAAGATGATAACTTAAATGTGTAACGCTTCTGCCATTTTCCAAACAACGTAAACATTAAGATATACTCTGAAACAATTGGAGCTTGAATTTTAGAAAAGACACTAGGACTAGCACTTCACGTTTAGGAACTCCATTTTTAAGCTGATTCTTCTCGATTCAATGATTCTTTTTATTTCCCAATTCATGCTCATTTTTTTGGTCTATTGACTGGCATTGTCATGTTCCTGCCTTAATTTGAAATTCTGTTTCAGCACCACAGAATTGGATAGGTTATATCACATAGCATTAAATGGTTCAGAGGAGGAAAAATCAGCTGCTGCAAAAATTCTTTGTGGTGCATCATTTGTTTGTGGTTGGAATATCCAGGTACCTTTATTTTAGATTAATTATATTGTGTAAAGAAGTTTGGAAATTGTTTATATTGCCATTTCAACTTTTATGTTCATATGGTTAAAAAAATCTCACCTTATTGATACAATTTAACTGAAATACAATTCAATCGCATTTGATGTGTCTACTACTGCCATGGCCATGTCCACATGCAAATTCGTCTTTCCTATTCTTTCCTATATGATGTATGCCTTATCTTACTGCACGCTTACAAGTGGTCATGCCCCTGATTTGACCTTGTGCTTATGAGCAAGCCAAAAAGGTTCATTTGCACTTGCATACTTTTTAACCTAAAATGATGATTATTTAAATTTTACTTGTCGTCTCAGGAATATGTGGTCCGCATGGTGGTCAAGCTATTATCACCTCCATTGCCCTCAAATTCCTCAACACAGGGCAGCATGAGCCACTACCTTGCTCAGATGTCTACATTAAATGCACTCTTGCTTGGTATTTCTTATGGTGATGCTATCCACATTATTTCTTTGTATGGAATGGTGAGCAATACATCATGTACTATCACCTGCACAATTTATTCTCAAAATATCAAACTGGTGAATGTTTTGCATAGTTTTTTTATTCATTATAGTTCCTTTATTTTAATCTTCTGAAAGGGGAAAAAAATATCCTCCTGATTTGTTCTTCACTTCTCCTCAAAGTAAAAATTATGGAACTGCCTACAAATCAATGCAGCTGCTGTAAGGCCACAGGCAAATTATTAAACATGGGAGCTGATCTTGTGTAGTCTTATATATCCTCAATTTCAAATCTTCTACAGTTTGCCTCTCATTGCTAACATTTTATCTTCTTATTCTTTTGTAGTTGTTGTTGCAGTAAGCTGTAATGTCTATCATTTGTTGTTGCTAACAGTTAATGACTGCCATAGCTTACCGTGTCGTTTGGTCCCCATATCTTTTTTTTTTGTGAGAGCCATTGTACATGATATACTGAAACCATATATTAATATTTTACTTATGACTAGCATAATGGTATACACACATTCATTACATGATACATGATTATTTTCATGTCTATATCATATTAGCTATTATGCTAACTCCATGTCTGCACCTATATGTATTTATACCATTTATTATTTGTAAAATACAGGTTCCAGATGTTGCTGCAGCTTTAATGCCAATCTGTGAAGTTTTTGGGTCCATACCACCTCCATCTAACCACAAGCCTGCCATTGTTGGTGAAATATCAGTTTATTCGGTCTTCTCTTGTGCATTTCTTTGTCTTCTTCGACTGTGGAAATTTTATAAACCCCCACAAGAATACTGTCTAGCTGGACGTGGAGGCTCAGTTAGATTGGAGCTTACTCTGGACTACCTGCTGTTAATGCGCAATAACCATATTGACTTTGCAAATTCATCTGCCAGTAGTAGAAACTCTAGCAACAACATAGGTCCATTAAATGAGGTTCCTGCTCAACCACTTTATATTGATTCTTTCCCCAAGTTAAGGGCTTGGTATTTTCAGAATCAAGCTTGCATAGCTTCAACCCTTTCTGGTCTTTGCAACAAAAATCCTGTTCATCAAGTTGCAAACAAGATTTTGAGTATGATTTGCAGAAAAATGAACAAACCTGTTGTATCATCTGGCAATCTTTCATCCACTTCTAGCAGTAGTGTCAGTGGTTCCTCTGTAAGTACACCAGATGATTACCAAAGGCCAACAGTTCCTGCATGGGAATTTTTAGAAGCTGTTCCTTTTGTTCTTGAAGCTGTTCTTACAGCATGTGCTCATGGACGGTTTTCCAGCCGAGACTTGACTACAAGTGAGGAAACTCCATTTCTTTCATGTCACCGTATTGATTTGATCCCCAAGTCTTAATCTTATTTATGTGCTGCAGGTTTGAGAGATCTTGTGGACTTCTTGCCAGCTTCTATTGCAGCAATTGTTAGCTACTTCTTAGCAGAAATTACACGAGGAATCTGGAAAATGGTCCCGATGAATGGAACTGAATGGCCTAGTCCTGGTGCTTCTCTTCATTCCATCGAAGCAGAAATAAAGGAAATTCTCGCATCTGCTGGCATTCAGATTCCCAGCTGCTATCCACGTATTACCTGCATCCTATTCTTGTGCATCAATTTAGTTGCATTGCTTCACACCTAATTACTGATAAATTTCAGCTCCATCATTATATGATCTTTTAAGTTCATTCCATTTAATATCACTTCATGAATATAGTTTCTTTATTTCATTTTGCAGGTGGTGTACCACCAATGCTTCCTTTACCAATGGCTGCGCTGGTCAGCTTAACAATTACATTTAAGCTTGATAAGAGTTCAGAGTATATCCATGCGATCAGTGGCCAGGCACTAGAGAACTGCGCAGGGGGCAGTTCCTGGCCAAGTATGCCCATCATAGCAGCCTTATGGACACAGAAAGTCAGAAGATGGCATGACTTTATCATCCTCTCTTGTCTGCGTTCTCCATTCGGCAGAGATAAAGATGCAGTTGCACAGCTCATCCAAAGTTGCTTCTCATCCTTTCTACGGTCCTCGTGCAGTGGGTCTGACTTTACTGCAAACCGTGGAGTTGGTGCCTTAATGGGAGATGCAATCACCGGCCAAGGTCTTCAGCTTCCCATGGCTCCTGGTTTCATTTACCTGAGAACTTGTCGAACATTCCATGACACCTACTTTGTGAGTGAGGTAATCCTGAAGCAAGTCATTGAGTGGGCTGACAAACTTGCAAATGGATTCTCTTCCAGTGGCCCTCCACAGTTAAAATCAGGACGCACGCCACTATCCAGCGCTGCATGTATGGCGCATCAAGTTGCGATGCTTGGTGGGGGACTCCTGTGTGTTGCAGGTGGACCTCTTCTGGTCCAGGTATTGTATGAGGAGACCTTGCCTACGCTGCTGCTATCAGCTCGAGAAGAGAGTATGAAAGACCCTGGACCAGTTTCAAGCACACTCCAAGGTTACGCCATGGCCAACATGCTCTTCTTCTGTGGTAGTCTGCTCTGGGGAGCGGAAAGAACTTCTCCTGTCATGAAATTGTCTTTCCTGTCAAGAAGGCCACGAGTGGTGGGAAACCATATGGATTTCATGGCGGGTGTATTGGATGGGCACATTCTTCTGGGTTGTGACCATGGCACCTGGAAGGCATATGTATCGCGCTTTGTGTTCCTGGTGGTGAAGTTTGTCCCGTCATGGTTGCGGGACATTAAACTGGACACGCTAAAGAAGATAGCGTCTGGGCTTCGGAGTTGGAATGAGCACGATCTTGCATTGGCTTTACTTGAGCGAGGAGGACCTCAGGCAATCTCCACTGTAGTCGACACCTTGTTGTGATCTTTGCCTCTTGACATTTCCCACCCATTATCTGACATAGGAGTTTTTGTAATCACATTTGAGGCCAGGACTTGTGTAGAGATGTCTTCTGGTTCAGGATTTCTCAGTCGAGCTATCTAAAATTTCTGAATTCTGTCAGCGGAGAGATGCTAGCTAATCTTGTTTGCTGGGTGCATTGCTAACGTTGCTATTTTCAGGGTAGCATTGTGAACCCAAAATCATACAGAGGCCTTGCTCGACAACGTATCCAGTTAGAACTTTCTGATCTGTCTATGTACATTTCTGTAGGTAGTATATTTGTGTGGTCTGTAAAACTGCAGTGGTAGCTGTATCTCAACATATGCTTATTTTCGACAAAATTTAAACCAAGGTAGCATCAGTCCAAATCAAACAACTAAGATTTTAACAATAATTGCCAAAACATAAATTGATACGGCCGGCTTTGCCGAAGCCTAATGTGCCAACGGTGGGCCTGTTAGTAATGTTGAATCCGAAGTTCAAAGTTATATGATATCCTTGAACCGTAATATCAGTAATGTTGAATCCTACTTTCTCAAAATCAGGTTAAATAAAAGACATGTGGGGCCCAATCATCGTATATTGTTTTATTTAACCTGGTTTTGAAAGATGGGGGTTTCACTTCAACTATTGCGGTTCAAGGATTTAATTCGAACTCAATGATAACTAGGGACCACAAGTAAACTTAATCCGACCACACGAAAAAGAATACAAGGCCTAATGGGCTAAAACTGGGCCTCACAGGCTTTTTATTATTAAGGAATAATCGCGACCATGCGGAAAAAAAAAAGGAAACGGAAGAAATGGCGGGAAGTCCAATAAAAAGACCCGCCGCAACGCTCCCCGTTCCGTTCTACCCGGCCAAAAACACCAAAACACCACCCATTTCGCCACCACCTCCCGATCGCTCCGTTCCGTCCTCCCATTCCCCTTCCACTCCACCCCAGCCGCCTCGCCTCGCCTTCTTCTTCCCGAAGCCGCTCAATCGAACTCCCCTCGCCGAAGCCGACGCGGGGGCGCGACCGCGCGCGCGAGCCCCATACCACGTACGATGGAGGCAGCTCTGAAGGCAAGTGCTCGTTGCCCTAATGGCGTTCCCATTCCCTAATAAACCCTAGCCCCGCGATCCCGCGGGCTAAAACCCTATCTGGATGCTTGAACTGGGGCGTTTCTGCTTTTTTTTTTTCAGACGTATTTCGGCTTCTCGGGGTTCCGTTCGTACCAGCGGGAGATCATACAGAAGGTCCTGGAAGGCCGGGATTGCTTGGTCGTCATGGCCACCGGCAGCGGCAAGTCGATCTGGTGAGTTAGTTCCCTGTGGGGAAAATTTTGCTGTGGCTGTTCCCTTCCTTCGTGCGGTGCCACTGTTTGCTAGCTATCGTGGATATTTCTATGGATGTGCAAGTTAGATCGTTCCAGTGATGAAATCTAAATTGGAATGCTGCATTTGGTTGATATATGGGTTGTTGTATCGCCGTGTAATGTTCATATTGGCGTTTGTGTAATTTGTTGATTGGGCAGGTAAAACATTCTTTCAGAATTGGGTTTGTCTTATTTCTAGTGTGCATTTATGCTATCTTAGAAAAATAAAACATAATGATTTTGATAGTAATATAGAGCCTATGAGCTATATTAAGTAGTTAAGTTCATCTTCATTGGGTATACACATACATAAATCATCTAATTCTTCTTCCAGGAAATCATTGGATTAGTTATTGATTGCTAATTGATTTCTTTTTATTGCAGTTATCAAATCCCACCACTTGTTACAAAGAAGACAGCTGTTGTTGTCAGCCCTCTTCTGTCATTGATGCAAGACCAGGTATGGTTCAAATACTCATTGCAGATCATTATTGCTTTGATCTTTGTTGATTGTTTTTACAAGAAAACATAATCGTGGGTCTTATCTACTTCAAATAGGTCATGAGCTTAAAGCAGCATGGCGTGAAGTCTGAATACCTTGGCAGCACCCAAACAGACATCTCTGTTAGCGGTCAGGCTGAAAAAGGCGCATTCGATGTTCTGTACATGACACCAGAGAAAGCTGTCTCACTTCCTTCAAGGTAAAAGGCAGACTCTAGTAGTCTTTTGATAAACTCTAGTCACATCCACTTTGTGATTATGCGTGGTTAGTCTAAAAGGAATAGTTGATTATGTATTTGCTTGTCTGGAAATGGGAGGCATGCTCATTCAATTTCATGGACACAACAAATCACTCATGGGTTTGATAACATAGCATTCGGTCTATTGATTTGACATTCTAAATCTTCTTCCCAGGTTTTGGAGTAACTTGCAGGCTGCCGGAATCTGCTTGTTGGCTGTCGATGAAGCACACTGCATATCAGAATGGGGCCACGATTTCAGGTTATTCATACTGCCTACCAATTTGTGCTCCCACCCTTAAAACTCACACCATCCAGTTTAATAAATAGCTGACCTTTTCTTGATTGCAATTCTCTTTCTTGTTTGCAGAACGGAGTACAAACAGTTGCATATGTTGCGTGACCTTCTAGTGGGTGTTCCCTTTGTCGCTTTAACTGCAACAGCCACACAAAGGTATAGATGTTGCACTATTAGTTGTTTCCCTGCTTGGTAAAATTTTCGCCCATTAATAATATCATATTATTATGTTTCTTCTCTATTTAAAGTAAGAATAGTGAGAGTGTATAGCTGTATGTTTTTTAGAGGGGTATAATTATATCTCTATTGGCACAATACTCCACATATCATAGAAGCTGGAAATGGCTTGGAAAACTTGTAACTTACCTCCATTATTGTGTTCATATGTAAACTGACAGCATGTCTGAAACTGTGAATCAAGTGATAGAGTGGGGGCTGCGCGGTAGCTGGTGACTTTGGGAGAAATGTCATTTTCCATTTCACATTGGCACTAAATTTTGGTCTTGATGCGTGTAAAATATATTGTAGACAGAAATGCAGGGATTTGATTATACTCCCTTCTGTTCATGAAACCATGCTGTTTTGGACACTGACAAGTTCCCCAAAACGTAACTTTGACCACTAATTTCTATTGTAATAAAATATATTGATGCTCATTCTTTTCAAAATAGACATGTTCACTTGTTATAGCCTCGTAGGTTGCGTTACCTTTGTTTACAGTGGCTAATTCTTTTTTTCCCTTCCAATCACCAAATATATAGTGCCATATAATTTTTTTTTGACCAGTGCCATATAATTTTGTAGGGTACGTGGAGACATTGCCACTTCCTTGACCCTGCGCATTCCTCACATTGTGGTAGGATCATTTGATCGTCCTAACCTTTTCTATGGCGTGAAATCATGCAACCGGTCTATGGCCTTTATCAATGAACTTGTGAAGGATGTCTCAAAGAACTGTACTGTGGGTGGCTCAACAATAATATACTGTACTACCATCCGAGAGACTGAACAGGTTTACAGCTTATGGTATCATGCATTTACGTATTTTTGAACTTTCGTAATAGGTGCACATGTGATGACTTGTAAGCCGTTTTCTTTCAGGTGCATGAGGCATTGGTTGCTGCTGGAATCAAGTCCAGCATTTACCATGGTAGAATGGGAAATAAAGCTAGAGAGGAATCACATAGGTATATCATCTACTTTAATTTCTTTGTGCACATTTCATTATGCTTTCCACTTTACTCCCTTTTTGTTTGCATAAAGAATGATTTGCATAATTGTTTTGTTGGCTACGGTTTGCATAACTGTATTAAATTTTATTGATCGTGCCACAATTTTCATGAGGAAAAACGAACATCTATGAATATTGCAGTGCTATAATTTGATCTTTAATGTTTGTAGAAATATTGGCATTCTGTTACGTATGCACTAGATCATGAAGTTATTAGACTAGAAAGATATTTAGACAGATGAAATGAGTAGTTAATACCTTTCAATTTATAATATGCATGCTGCCTTTGCAATATTGGTCTGGTACAATAGGGGCTCATCATAATTTATGCTTCTCCTTTACAGATCGTTTGTTAGAGATGAAGTACTTGTGATGGTGGCTACCATTGCTTTTGGAATGGGAATCGACAAGCCAGATGTTAGATGTGTAATACATTATGGATGTCCAAAGAGCCTGGAATCCTACTACCAGGAAAGTGGGCGTTGTGGAAGAGATGGACTGCCTTCAGTCTGCTGGCTATATTACCAAAGAAGTGATTTTATGAAATCTGATTTCTATTGTGCTGAAGCTAAAAGTGTATGTGAATATTATGTGCATCGTATCTCTGTTCATGCCAAAGTGATATATCTTACATATTTGCAGCCTAGTTCTTTCAGTTGCTTACTATTTTAGTGTCTCATATTTTTTTGGTCACTGATAGCAAACTCATCGAAAAGCCATCATGGAGTCCTTCATGGCAGCACAAAAATATTGCCTGCTTGCTACATGTCACAGAAAATTCTTGCTGCAGTACTTTGGCGAAGACCGCACCACTGACTGTGGTAAGTATATATGTTACATTTAAGAGTCAGTTTGAACTCATCTAGTAATGTTTTCCATTTAAAAAGAGTAAGATATATTCGAGTCTTATTTCAACTGCTAGTGGCTCATTGGTTTTTGACATATCTCTTGATTTGCAGGTAATTGTGAAAATTGCACAAGGACAAAAAACGAGAGGGATTTGTCAAAAGAATCCTTCTTGTTGCTGTCCTGCATTAAGTCCTGTGGTGGACGGTGGGGCCTTAATTTGCCTATTGATGTTCTCCGTGGATCACGTGTATGGTTTCTATCCTGATGTTTGTGATTTTTGCCAGCTTGTGACATAAATTGGCCATTAGCACTTGATTGGATAAGATCACCTGTGTGCTGATAATGTTTTTGGGAACAAAGATCAATGTGAATAGAATATTTCAAGGAATGTATATTTAGGTCTTATATTTTCTGCACTATCCTGGTGATCGTTCAAGCTTTTCATAATCACAAATTAGTTCATTATAAGATAATAAGATATAAGTGATACAACTAATAATTTTTGAAAAAAATACCTTAGCCTTGAGCAGTAGTAACAATTTTGTAAAGGATTATGTTTCATGGTAAGTATTTTCTCATTTTGTAGGTCAAGAAAATAGTTGAAAACAATTTTGATAAACTTCCATTGCATGGGCGGGGAAAAGACTATCCACCAAACTGGTGGAAAGCTCTTGGCGGCCTGCTTTTAGCACATGGTACCATCGTATGCCTCTCTCTACATATTTTTAGTCATTTTCTTGTGCAAGCTAAGATACATGTTCTGTATGCTGACTTGAAGTTTTGTACATATGTACAGTGTCGTTTTCTTGGAGAAAATAAATGGTTGCATTTTTTTAAAATAATAGTATCAATAAACATTGTGATGCTGCAGTTCATTCTTTTAGTAAAAGTAGTGTTTTTCATGACCTTAGGTCCTCGATCATATGGCACGGATGCAAACAGCATATTTTGTACAGAGTAGGCACCATAATAGCTCATTTCATCTGACCCTTTTTTTGGGATACCCTTCTTCTCGTATACCTTCATTCCTAGAGACCTTTTTTTTAGAGCTCAAGATCTGTATTTTTCTACCATGTTTATTTCTTAAATTGTCTCTTAGCACTGAAATTCAGATTTCGGAGTATCGTTTTGTCAATGCTGTACTGTTAATTAATGGCTACAGTGAGTGAATTTATTCATCAGGTGTCACAACAATTTGTCCTGTCTTTCATTGTCACTTTGATTTGTTATTTCTTTTTATTCTGTGTGCAGATTATTTGAAGGAGACTGTCCATGATACATTTAGATCCATCAGGTGCTGTGCTGACTATTTTCTTTTTCACTGCATAAGATAATATTCTACTTGTTCTATTTTGCTAGCTCATTTCGAATTTATTGACTCCAGTTAACCCAAGCATGAATGCTCAAACAGCCACAACTCACTGATTCCTTGTGTCTATGTTCAGTGTTAGTCCTAATGGGTACAAGTTTCTATCCACTGCTGATAAAGGGGATGGAGCATCGCTGTTTTTACAGCTGACTGCAGAGATGATTGAGCTAGAGGGGCATGGTGGTTCACAGTGTAAAGAAGAGGGCTTAAATCCTTTGGGCCCATCAGAATCTGAAAAAATTTCTGAGGTAAGTTTCTCAGAGGAATTATTTGTAAAATTCATTATTTTAGAGTTCTTTAGTCTCATTTTGGATCTCTTTCAGGATGAATTGAAAATCTACCAAGTACTCTTGAATGTCAGGATGCAACTTGCACAAGATATTGGAACGGCGCCGTGAGTTAAATACTTAAATGTTGACAACAATAGGTTTAGGTTTCTAGGCTCTTTACTTATTGGAGCAACACTGAATTGAATCTCTTTAATCCATTATTTCAGGTACGCTATATGTGGTGATCAGACACTAAGAAACTTTGCGAAGTTCAGGCCTAGCACCATAGCTAGGTTGGCTAATATTGATGGTGTTAACCAGGTATCACTTCAGAAAATAATAGTAGCTAACACACTTTTATGCCATAACACAGAGCACTAAACTTTTTTGCGGTGCACCCTACTGGAAAATACGACGGATGTGATCATATTTTGTCTTAATACTCATAATGTCCGACCTTTGGTTTTCAGCACTTCATCTCGCATTACGGCAGTATTTTCATCCAAAATATCACACAATTGGCAAAAGAATTGAATCTTCCTGTGGATGATTTATCGGCTGTAGAAAGTATACCTGCTGCTCCAAAACCTACACAAAATAATCTCCCAAGGAGTTTGGGTGGCGCGAAATTTTGTTCATGGGAATTGTGGCAGAAAATGAAGTTTTCGTTCCAGAAAGTTGCGGTGAGTTGCCCTTGTTTTTGTTTGCTATAGATCCATTTGGTAAGTTCACTGCTTAACATCCTGGTTTATTCTAGCATTACCGCAGAGCAGTACCAATAAAAGAGAAAACAGTCATTTCCTACATACTTGATGCTGCTCGAGATGGATGTGAGATGGACTGGAGTAGGTTTTGTGAGGAGGTAGGACTTACACATGAGATAGCCTCACAGATCCGTCTTGCCATTACAAAGCTTGGATCACATGAAAAGTTGAAGCCAATCAAAGATGAACTTCCAGAAAATGTAACCCTTCCTCCATGCATGATTAGACTACTGTTGTTAATATCTAATAGATCTGTTGCATCAACAAACAACTGCTTCTTATGCACTGCCAAGTTAGATATTAGTTCATCCAAAGCGTTCCCAAGGCCTAATTTACCTGGCAAAATGCAACATGATACTTGCAGGTAACTTATGAGATGATCCAGACATTCTTGGCAATTGAGGGACTTGGATTGTCGGATCAAGTTTTTGGTACTGTTCCTACTGATGGGATCCAGTCCAAGACATCAGAGGCACCAAAGACCACCTCCAATGGAGGTGAAGTTGGCGCAGATGTTTGTGATGCAAGCCCTTTGACAAGGAGAGGCCAAACTGATGGGTCATTGATTTGTGGTGATGAGCCAGCAAGTAAACTACAAAAGATAGACGGGCAAGGTGTAAATTCTACTGCCGCAATCGGTGCCACAGAGGATGCAATACTAGAACTGGTTGAAGGACGCAATGGGGTAAGACATCTTTTTTTTCTGAATTTTCTTCGATTGGAATTCATGTTGTTCCTCGTTGATGATCTTAGTTGTTGCAGGTTTCGTTGGAGGATGTTGTCAAGCACTTCAATGGGTCGAAAAGAGAATGTGTCGTCGAGATGTTGGACAATCTGGAAGGCAATTTTCTGGTGTACAAGAAGAATGGCTGCTACATGATTATGTGAAATTAAAGATCTGAAGGAATGTTACCAGTTGGTTGTCAATGCTAGTAACCCCATATCTAGGAACATATACGGTCTCAAATGATGTATATATAAAATTTAGTGGTAATGAGTGTAGGCTTCTTTCCCTCTTTATCCGTATGAAAAATTCACCTGTTCATCACTAACAACTGATCTTTAGTTCATTCAGTTTTTTCTGCTTGTTCAGAGTTTAGAAACTAGTGCCGTTTGGCCTTGAAGGATCATCATATCCAGTGACCCTGATTCGTTGTAGAAGAATCAGAGTCTGCTCCTAGCCTCAAATATGATCAAGTTTTTTTCTTTTTTGTTTCTAGTTGGTTTTCAGTGAAGACTAGTGTCAGACACAGCCTGGCTGCGATGGAGCATGGACTTCCCGGTGCGATACGTTCAGTTTTGGGCGGAATATGGATAGCTATCAATGGCAGCGATCCTAATTTCGGCCCAGCTAGGATCGTTACCAATACAGGCCACCCATCCTCGAACGGGCGGCCCACGCTGCCTCCGGCCCAGCAGCGAGCACACGGTTGGCAATGGCAACTTGGCATGATCACGTGACAGCTGGACCCCACGTCACGCCCACACACACGCTGGCCCTCTCAACGGCTTGGCTTTCTCTCTCTCTTTTTCTTTTTCTTTCTTTCTTTCTTCCCCATCTTTCTCCACTCCCCTTTCGCACTCGCACTCGCACTCGCACTACACCCACCCACCCATCGATCCATCCATCCATCGATCAGTTGTGAATTGTGAGTTGTTGTTGTTCAGTTCAAATCCAAGCGGAGTGTGGCCGAGCACCGCAACCGCTTCGATTCCCCCAAGCATTCGGTTCGCCATGAGCAGTGTCAGTAGTGGGGCGAGGTGGCGATGAAGGCGACGCTGCTGCCGCCGCCGCCGCCGCCGGCGAAGAGGCGGAGGGGGCCACGCGTGGCCGTGCTGGCGCTCTTCCTCTGCTCGCTGCTCGTTCCCCTCGCCTTCCTCTTCGACCGCTCTCAATCCGGTTCGTAACCCTCTCGCCTTTCTGGAACCATTTTAGTGGGGAGGGTTTTGGGGGAGGGGAATGCAGTGCCCCCTCGTGCTCGGATCAGTGCCGCTTCCGCTGGATCTGGGCATCGACTTGTTGTTCGATTGCTCTGTGGTTCTGTAATTTCGAACTGCCGCCGGATAATTTTGTTTGATTTGGTTTGTCTGTGACTGTGAATGTGATGCAGGGTACGTCACGACGGATGAGCGGCGCCGACAGGTACCCGCAACTGTTAACCCCCCCATTCTCCTTCTCCTGCACCTACTTCTGATTTCGATGTGTTACAAGGCTGCGTCGCGCGCTAAATTATTGCATTTCGCGTTGGCTTTTAGGAGGTTGTTTTGCCTGAGTTCCATCACGTGGAGAAGGCGGATGGTGACGGTACTGTCAATGGACTGAATCAGGTTCGCATTTGCAAATCCTGTTCGATGATGGTGACTGCTTTGTAAATGTTGTTTGCTTCTGAAACCTCAATTGGTGCCAATGCATCGTAAGGTGCTCGCATTATCTACTCCTATGATGTAATAAATGAGTGGCCAGGACGACTGATACTTGTCTAATCCTTGCTACCTGCAACTTAGAGGTGAATTTTAAGTCTAGCGTGTTAGCTTTCCGAGGACAACACTGTATCCTTGTTGGTTATTGCCTCTCAAGGGAAATACTTAAACATTTTTTTCATGAATTATGAAAAAATAGTTTGCAAAAATGTATGAAAAATTAGAATTAGTATTTGTAGCAGTTGGTGAATTGCCAATGTTGTGTGGTTGCATCTGCAACACTAACACATTCTTTTTCCCCCCTTCAGGATGCACCAAAGAAGACGCCCAAAGTTAACAGCGGAGGGCTGCAGAAGCATAAGCAAACTGATCGACACACCTCCCGTATTAGCACTAAACCAAAAGGTACTCTTCAGTTCATTTTCTGCAGCTAAGGTTTTTAGATGTGACTAAAATGTTGCCAATGCTAGCATGTCATTCATGAATTATAGATTTATAGGCTATACGAAGTAATCTGGTAAACTTAACAGGAAATCTAGCATTTCGGGTTACACAAAGAACAGTGATAGTAACATGAAGATTATATATTTATATATGGACATAATTTCAACTGCATGGTCCTTCATCCTAAATATTATATGTGAACTCAAGTTTTCTTCAGTCCCACGCTCTTGCTTCTCACCATTTCCCAATACTTTACTTTACATACTAGATGCAAATGTTGTTTAGAAACAATGTTGTCATTGTGATACTAACAATATGTTCACTGCTGCTCTTTGTTTAAGAAGTCTATATGCTGTATTCCAGTTATTCCTGATTGGTCTTTTATTCTGTATGATATTTATAGTATTCTTTTTCATATCTATACACAGTTCTTCCCTCACCAAAAGTTGACCCATCAGAGGCTGTGAAGGAGTCAACTCAAGGCACAAGAGTATGCTTTCTAGCATTCGAATTTGTACTTTATTTTGCTACTTTTGTGACACGTTCAGTCATTAAAATGGAATTCTAAGGTCCTGCAGTAACAGTAGTAGTAAGTATTATGATGCTAGAAGTTATCAAATGCTATATTTTCAGGTCAAACACATATTTGTAGATAGTATGCAATAACGCCAAAAATTACCTTTCCTTTTAGTCGTACTGATGTAATAACATGCCATTATTCTAATAATATGATGCTGAAAAATACTGTGTCCCTGTATGTTTGAAGGACAATATTTTAGGACAATGCTGAAAATATACTGTGTCCCAGTATCTTTCAAGGACAAAATTTTAGGACAATGCTAAATATACTGCATCCTAGTATCTCTCGAGGATAGCTTCATTCTCATAGAGCGCTCTATTTTTCTTCCTGAGAATTTTTTTTTCAACAAGAGGTACTAACGAGCATGCATTGCTTTCAGGAGGTTAGCAAAGTTAGAAAGAGACTAGACAAAGGCACAAACACAGATGAAGTGGAAAATGAGAAGGCTTGTCAACTTGAATTTGGTAGCTACTGTCTCTGGTCCAGAGAACACAAAGTAGTCATGAAGGACTCCATTGTGAAAAGGCTAAAAGACCAACTATTTGTGGCACGCTCATATTATCCAAGCATTGCGAAGCTTGAAGGACAGGAGGAACTTACTGTGCTAATGAAGCAAAACATACAAGACCATGAGAGGGTTCTTAGTGTATCGACTGTTGATGCTGATCTACCGTCCTTGTAAGAATTAAAATTCTGGTGCTTACTCTTCTGGTCTTTCACAGTTCATTTCATTGTCATCTTAAAGTTGCAGTTATATGTTACTGAAACTGGATCTGGATATCTTGCAAATTACAATGCCATTTAAACTCTTTATCTCTTAAGGGGAAATAGTTTTTTTTTTTTGAGAAAAATGTGCATTCATCTGAAAATAGTATAGAATCAACCGATGAATAATTTTCCCATCATCAATATATAAGTCTACTTTCATAATTTTAATGATATTTATCAATTGATTTCAGTATCAACAAGAAGATGGAGCAGATGGAGCAAACAATAGCTAGAGCAAAATCTTGCACTGTAGATTGTCGAAATGTTGACAGGAAACTTCGTCAGATACTTGACATGACTGAGGATGAAGCTCACTTTCATATGAAGCAGAGTGCATTCCTCTACAACCTTGGTGCTCAGACGTTGCCTAAGAGTCATCACTGTCTATCTATGAGGTTGACATTAGAGTATTTCACATCCTCTTCACTGGGTTCAAATGATTCTTCTGCTCGCAAATTTAGTGCTGCACATGGTAGGCACTATGTCATACTATCTAAGAACATCCTTGCTGCTTCGGTTGTTATCAACTCAACAGTGAACAGTTCAAAGGTATGTGGATGGTTTTTATTCTTTACAGTGTTTAGTTTTTGCATTATATTCGAGGTGGGTGTTGCTTATATTCATGTTGGTCTTTTCGCAGGACCCAAAAAAAATCATTTTTCATATCTTAACTGATGCTCAAAATTTCTATGCCATGAAATACTGGTTTGACAAAAAGTCATACAGAGAGGCAGCTATCCATGTCGTGAACTATGAGGATATTATCAAGGAGAAGTTAACAAAGTTTAATGTGCGGCACCTGTATCTGTCCGAGGAGTTCCGTGTTCTTGTTAGGAGTACTGAGCAACCTGCTGGGAAGACAAGAATGGAATACCTATCATTATTTAGTCACTCACATTTCTTCATTCCAGAAATATTTAAGGATCTAAATAAGGTGGTTGTGTTGGATGATGATGTGGTTGTTCAACGTGATCTTTCTTTCTTGTGGTCTCTTGATATGGGGGACAAGGTAAATGGTGCTATCGAATTTTGTGGTTTAAGACTGGGTCAAGTGAGAAATCTCTTGGGTAGTACAACAGTTGATACCAAGTCATGTGCATGGATGTCTGGAATAAATGTTATAAATTTGGATAAATGGAGGAAGCACAAAGTTACAGAGAACTACCTGCTGCTTCTGAAAAAGGTTGGTATAGTTCTGGTCTATTTATTTTCTTGCGATAGCATATGATAAGAAAAGGGCACAACAAAGGGTGATCTGGAAAGATAATGTAGTGCTACTTGTGTTTTTCCAGTCTCAGTCTGAAAATTATTTGTCCCACTGTTTTTTATGCACCTCATGGTTACTATTATATTGCACGTATTAATCTGACTCTGTTGTGTTGCAGTTCTTGACGAAGGATGAGACATCTCTGCGAGCAGCAGCCTTTCCTCTAAGTTTGTTATCTTTCCAACACCTCATTTATCCCCTTGATGAGAGGTTGATTCTATCTGGACTTGGATATGATTATGCAATTGATGAAGACGTTGCACGGAGTTCTGCAGCATTGCACTACAATGGCAATATGAAACCTTGGCTTGAATTAGGTATACCAAGCTACAGGAGATACTGGAAGAGGTTCCTAACTCGAGACGATAAATTCATGGATGAGTGCAACATAATTCCCTGACAAACTGACACAATTGAACCTGGGAATCAGACCAACCGATAGCAGTGTGCATCAACGAGTCTCACCCTTATGTGGCGTACTGACTGGATGCTATAGCTCCCAAAAGCTTTTATTGTGCACTACGACTACAAATACAGCTGTGGAACAGGAGAAGGGTTGCTATCGTTGGTCATAAATGTCGGCAGAAGAGTGGACAAAGCATGTTCTATTCATTAATTGACAGGATTGATTAACTATTTTTTTTGCGATGGGATTAGTCTCAAATATGGGGACTACATGCTTTGCAGGTATTGATGATATGAATGAGTCTTCAAGTAAAGGTGGGTGTCAGCCTCATTGTCCAGATACTCGTTCTCTTGGAAGAAGGCACTGTCCAGATTGTTAGATAGGGTATTCAACGAGCTTCGGGCTCATGGCTGTGTTTCACGCCCCATCGATTCATGACGGTTTTTCCCTTCCTCTTCTGCCAATAAGGGTAAATATATGTAATCCTGATAGTCATTGTTTTTTGGTTCTTAGTTGTTGTACATGGATTATTTATCGAATTCTTCACACGGAAAGTCTGCTATTGGAAGCTTTCGACACCTCTGTGATTAACCTCTACTGTACATTTCGACTTGTTCTTCCTCACTTGGTGATTCATTCATTATAATTGAAATTTGGATATGAATATTATAAATTGTACTCCGTCCGTCCTAAAATATAAGAGATTTTAGATGGATGAGACATATCTTAATACTACGAATATGAATAGATTTTGTCCAGATTTTTAGTATTAGGATATTTTACATATATTTAAAATCTCTTATATTTTGGGACAGTGAGAGTATTATCATGGGGGAGAAATGCAGCTACAATCATTGAACTTAAGCTTGAGATTGATTTTCCATAAGGTCTACGTATCTGAGATATCAAGACTTTCATGTCCTCTTTATATTTTTGGTCTTAAACATTTCAGAACAAAGTATGATCTAGATGTAATCTGAGCTTCCAGCCTCGTTCGTTCTTACTCTCCTCCAACATGTTCAATATTGTGAAAATAGGAGAGTGGTTTTAATTGTGAAAAAACGGTTCGCCACTTCTCTTAGCGATCCGGTTATCTGCTTCATATGGGCCGCTTAGCACCAAAGATAGTAAGCCCGAACATTAAATGGACCGTAATCCGTATGTAGCATGCAACTGGCAAGTATGTTGGGCTTTTAGGTGGTCTGGGCCGTACACTAGTCCGACGCGTACTCCGAAGCCAAGCCTGTGTTGGTTTGGTTTGAGGGCTAAATAGGTATTACCAAATTTTGTCAATGCTAAATTTTGACAAGTTTTTGTATGACTAATTTTGGTAAGGTAAAGTTGTGTTTGGATTGAATCCAAAATAGCCTAAGTTCACTATTGAAATGGCCTATTTTCAAACCAAATAGACATTAAACACTATTTAAATTGTTAAATATTGACAAGCCTAATTTAAGTTTCAAACCAAACCGGCCCTTATTTTTCTCGCCTCGAGTACTCGCCCACGGCCGCCGGCCGACGCCGCTTCAGACAGTGCACAAGACCCCTCTCACTCTTTTCAACTCGCATTTTGAGAAGCCGGTGATCCCCGCCGTGAGACGCGGGCGGTCACCCAGGTATGCTGCTGTGTAGTTCCGGAATAGAGGCAAGGGTGTCAAGCGGGAACTGTTTTAATAGCTCGAGTAGGCGTTCACTCGTTTATTGCATGTCATCTAAATGAGTTATTAGAATCCATCACCGTGTCAAGCTCCAAAACCTTGCATTCCATTTTTTTTCTGGAGAAGGGTATTTTTTACCCGGCCTCTATATCCAACCGGATATATACAGCTTTTTTTTAATAGGAACTTAGCCTAGGAACTTAGCCTATCGAACAGGGAACTAGCCCTCAAATAACCCAATCTGAAATTCGCTCCTATGAAGATTTGAACTCAGGACCTTAGAGTGCTACTCAGATCACTGCAACCACTAGGCTATATGCCCTTTCACAAACCTTGCATTCTACATATTAGTTAGGTTTGTTCAACAGTAAACTATAGCATGCGAACAACCGAAAAGGAGCTAATTTGTCACTCCTGAGATCTGAAACTGGACGGCAGATCGCGGTGTCGATTCAGAGTTTCAGACTTCATCAATTAAAATTTTATTAGCACACCACTCTGATTTATCATCAATCGCATATTTGGTTTTTTTAAGGATGCTATGTTCTTCAGTTGCAGTTGATATATGAGCCTGAAAATTGCTAAATGTGCTATCGGCCACTTCCCATCTTAGTGCTAAAATGGTCCCTGTTCGTTGTCATGTCACATACTACTAGAGAGGATTAGTTTTTTCTGTCAGAAAATGTCCAGAGGTGGTTAAGAGAACCAACCGCGCATTGGAGCAAGCTGTGACGGTGAGGCAATTTGATGCAATGCGCTCTGTTTATGCTTTCCAGCTAGCTCATGCGGCCTTGCTATTGGATAATATTAGGCAGCATAGGATTGTGATCAATGTGAACCACTGAATATACATAGCCTGAAGTTAGACATATGAGCTGCCTCTAAACTATCAGCCTAACCTTGCCCATTTACCCTAAACTATATTTGCTAGCACATCTGAATTCTCCATGCATAGAATTGAAGGTTTTGAATAACTCCCCGGTAGTATATACTGTAGGATATATATTGATGTTTGTATGTCTGAAAATATACCACTGAAGTACCATACACAAGTTCCCTCTTTTGAGCAGTAATTTGCAGTTTACCATACACGAGTACAGTGGAAATGATGATATGCATGTTCTAATCGATTTTCAGCGGCAGAAATTTGCGGTTTTGTTAACTTATTCTCGCAATAAAACTTCATCTAACTGGCTTTTGTATAGTAAGTAGTAGTACTTCATTGGCTCATCGCAGTATATCACACAAATGGGTCTCGCGGTGTAGCTAGGTTGGTGGTTGATGGGCCTTAATCCAATTGAGACACCGCTACTGTGTTTTAGAGTGACATGTTATCGTACCAGTGTTTGCATGCACTGTATGTACACTAGCTATCATCACAACGGACAAAACTCAGTAATCAGCATGCCTGTTGAGTGGTCGATTGGGCGCATGTTGAGCTGATCGGGTGCAGTTGGATTGAGACATGTATTCCAGTGATTGACAATTTGACATCGCTTGCACATGAAGGAATAGCCGATCGAATAGCTACCCATGCAGCTTCCTCCCATCAGAACTTATATTTTTTTAGAGGAACTAAAGTTTAGTTCCTCCTTCCTAAACACCACATGGCTGTATTCTTACCTTCAAGTTCCCAATCCCTCTCTCGTTTTTCACGCGCACGTTTTTCAAACTGCTAAACGGTGCGTTTTTGCAAAAAGTTTCTATATGAAATGTGCTTAAAAAAAATCAAAATAACCCATTTTTGAAAAAAGAAATAGCTAGTACTTAATTAATCATACAATAATACGTGCTCCGTTTTACGTGCGGGAAGGAGAGTATGGTTCATGAAAGGCCTTCTTTTAATTTCTTTTAGAGAAAATTTCTTCTATACCTCTGAAAGTTTAGCCAATCTCTTCTACACCCCCGAGTTTTGTCCACTCCCTTGTATACCTCTAAATTTTGGTTTTGATCCCTTTCATATCCATCCCGTTAGTTGAATGTTTAATCCCTATGAAAATGATCATTTTGCCCTTACATATGAAGGAAATTTGAAAATTGTAGACTAGCTATATTGTTGGAAGTGTATAATTTTGTTATATAAGACTATTATATTCATGATTTTATTATACAAGGCATTATTTATGGCAAAATTTATTCTTACATAATGACATAAAAAATATTTATTTACTTATTAAAAGAGTATATGTAGCATTTTTTATGGTAGTTCAACATTTTTTTTCATGTCCTATTGTGACATCCCGTCCTAGAGCTTAATAGGATTAATAGAATACTCATATTAACAAGTTGTAATTTTTTTTCCGGAAGCCGCTCTCTAAAGAACTCTGATGTTAAGCGTGTTTGGCCTAGAGCAATTTAGGGATGGGTAGTGCGCACGAGTGAGGACAAAGTGTGCTGTGTGTCCATGGACGGAGACCCAAGATGTAATTTATTTTCATTATTAAAAAAAATGAAAGGCTGCATGAGCACAAGTTTCATTATTAAAAAAAAAATGAAAGGCTGCGTGAGCACAAGTTTGAGTATATAAACCACTACTATCCAGTACCAAATTCGTGCACCGGTGATGTGATTTTGGGACGTGAAATCTCTTGTGACAACGTATGCGGTAACGTGTCCCACATGGAGCAGTGGATGGATTTGATTGTCGATTTGTATGCCAGCGAAAATACCAAGCAGATCGAAGCCCACGGTTTTGAGTTGACTCCAGTTGACTCAGGTACTGTAACCACAGATGCATGAGGACGTGTCTCGTCTATACTCCCCCGTCTTAAAAAAAAAATGCAAACCGTAGATTTCCGTGCCAACGTCTGACCGTCCATCTTATTTGAAAAAATTATGAAAAAAATTAAAAAAATAAGTCACATATAAAGTATTAATCATGTTTTATCATCTAACAACAATGAAAATACTAATTATAAAAAAATTTCATATAAAACGGAAAGTCAAAATTTGGCACGGAAACCCACAGTTTGATTTTTTTTTTGACCGAGGGAGCAGGCAACAATTAAGTCTCACGTCACGCGCTGCGTATGGTACAAACCATGGTGAGAGTCCGAGCACTGCACGGTCGGATTGGGACCCATCGGCCATCGTCGCCGGCAATCTCGGCAGACATCCGCAACTAACTATTCCTCCGGCCGGCCGGCCGGCGGCCATCTGGATTGATATTAAGTACTACTAATCAGAATTTTTTTAGATAATTACTACTAATCAGCATATGCATGCATGGCGGTTGGTGCAGCGTTTGATGATCGATCAGACGAACTAACATGGATCATTTATAATTGTACTTTATGCCAGCTATCTAGTGGCATCTAACCTGCTTAATTTGACCATTGTTAGACGACCTTATGCATGCAAGCATGCATGCCTGATGTTGCTAATCAAGCTACAACGCAAGTCAGTGTCATCAGGTACGTACAGTTCATCGATCACGTTTCACCTCTTTTATTGGGTTGCTAATTGTATTGCTGATTCCAATCACACTTGGAACGTGGTTTGTTTCTAATTATTTTCCTCTTAAATGAACTCCCAGGGTTCTGTTCTTCTTTAACCAAATTTGCTGCAGGACAATAAAAAATTATGTGATTTGTTAGTAGACATCAAAACGTGTCATTGCTGAAAGACACTTAAAAATTAATAATTTGCTGGAGGATAATTTTAACTCGATTGGAGAGAATTTCTTCTAAAAGACGATAATGTCTAGGATCGAAAGCTTTTGATCTGAAGTTGCAATGAGGATGGAATACGATGTATGCTAGTGATGTACTTGGAATTATGGTAAATGTGGAGTTGCATAATTTTTAATTTTTTACTCTAGCGTTATATTTGAAGCATGTTGTTATATGGGCATTCTCTTCTTTCTTAAGAATTTATCTTTCGAATTGAAGTAAATTACTAGTTTTTTAAAGTGTCTTTCAACCGTGACATATTTTTTTTACAATGCCTATCAGCAACTTACACAAAATTTAGATGTCCTATAGCAAAATTTATCTTATTTTTTTATGTTGCTGAAAAAGGAAGGAGGGTACGGGTCAAGACTCCAGAATGGTTTGAACTCCAACAGCAATCTCTCCATTAAAGAATTCACCAACGATGAATCTGATCAAGCTAGCTAGCTAATGTCTACTAACATGTTAATCAGCTTTAATTAACTAGTGATCGATTAGCAAGAACATCTGTCTGTCAGTCTGTCACTAGAAGCTCGAACGTCGTTACACTCCTAGCATATCGATTTGGCGCCCCATTTTAATCAGCTTCAGTTTGTGGACCATTGCAACTAGCATGTTTTTTTAGTACTAAACCGAAAATTGACAGACGTACCATTATATGCTCTGTAACTTGGGCTTCCAAGACTCTTCTCTCTAATTATGGAGCACTAGGTTGTTGTTCGGAATCTTCTACTTGAATAAGAGGGATTAGGTTTTCAGCACGTTGAAGTGACCAATCATGGTAGACTCCTCTTCACCGACGATTGACCGCAATGTAAAGTACTAGTCGATTATAGTATTGCAATGACCAACAACCCTATAAATTTCACTCCTTTTTGGCAACATGCCTCCACTCGAACTTGCTGAACTTTGTTAGGATTATATTGTTGGATCCATCATGGCAGACAAGGTGAGTCCTTGGTCCTCCTTTCTGGCTTCCACAGTTTTGCTGCAAAGCAAAGGTTGCATATGCATTAAGGTTTTTGCAGAATTAAGCTCTGTTTTTGTATTGCATGGATGCTTTTATAGCAAATGGCCAGTTTGATCATTAAGGCAAATCTCGAGTGTGAAAAGTGTTGCAAGAAGATCCAGAAAGTCCTTAACAAACTCAAAGGTATGTATGGATCAATGCACTTGCTGAATTATGTAAATTTAATCCCATAACTAAGTTGTGGCGTAAGGCCAAAAAGGTGGTACAGTATATGATTAAGCTGTGGTTTGAATTGAACGAACATGAAGCAGACAAGGAGAAGATCATTAACATCGTTTATGAGAACTCGAACAATAGGGTGATCATATCGGGCCATTTCAAGCCAGAGGAGCTCGCCCATAAGCTAAGATGCAAGGCCTGCGGGGTCATCAAAGACATTGAATTTGGGAAGCTTGCAGAGGCAAAGAAGGAGGAGAAGAAGCCGGATCAGGCCAAGAAGGAGGAGAAGAAGCAGCCTGAGGAAAAGAAACCTGAGGAGAAGAAGAAATCCGAGGAGGAGAAGAAGAAGGGCGACGAGAAGAAACCGGAGGAAGGCAAGAAGGAAGAGAAGAAGGAGGAGAAGCCAAAGGTGAAGGAGGAGACCAAGGCCACGCCGGCGCCGTCGTCGACGACGGTGAACCTGCAGTTCACCAACATGTGCGGCATCTGCTACCCGTGGCCGTGCAGCGACCCCACCCACTGGGGCGCCGGCGTCGTCCACCCGCAGTGGCCGCAGTGCGAAGCCCCGGCGGCGGCGTTGCCAGCGTTCGTCCCTGGCCACCACCACCACCAGCTCCCGCCATGGGGCGGCGTTCCGGCGCCGAAGTGGCCATGCGGAGGCCCCTCGTACTGCGGTGGGTGCGGCACCTGCCGCGGCGGCGGGTGGCCGGCGGCGGCGCCGATGCAGGCGATGTGCTGCCCTGGGCCGTCGTCGTGCAGAGGGTGCAAGGGTTGCCGGCTCGTTCAGGAGGGCAAGTTCGTGTACGAGGAGTACCCGGCGGCGAGCGCATGTGCCGTCATGTGATGTGATCATCTTCCCCTCGCCGCAATGTCATCGTTGACATTCTCTCGATCTGTCTCTCTTTCTTTCTTCCATCTGCATCTGATCTGAAGCTACTAGTGGTTTGTTCGGTCATCCAACTGCAGCGAAGAAACTCTTCCAGCTGCCATGTTCGCATGCACGGCAGTTTCTTTTTTCCTCCTAAGTTAAACTATTTTTGCTGGAGCATTTAACCCTGTAAATTTTTTTCAGTTTGTTCTACACTTTATTTTACTCTGTAATAGTATTTCTCTCTTTCTTCCTCCTATGTAAGTTGTATTTTTCGTAGAAATTTGATAAAGATGATAGATGTATTATACTATGTTTCAATGTTTTCTTTTAGATCTTTTTAACATTGTTTACATAGGTTGGAAGTACTTAAAACTGATTTAAACACCAAGTTCAAGCAAACATCCATAAACAAATGAAAATATTTTCGACTCCAAAATAAATGATGTGTATAGAGAGGTAAAATTAAAGAGACAAATACTATTAAGAAATAAGTGAAGCATTTTTAACAATTTATTGGTAAAACGAATAAAAAGTTTAAGGGTTAAGTGATACAATGAAAATAGTTGGAGGGAGTACCCTAAGCGTGTGTTTGGTTGCAAGGTTTTGGTGGGTTGGGCTAGAGCCGTCCCATTTTTACAGGTGTTTGGTTGAAGAACTGTGTGGGCTGGGTTGGGTCAAAAAAGGAATATTCTGCCCATATGCGGGTTGGTCTCGCTCGGCAAAATGTGGCGGACCGATCCATCCCACCTCCTCTCGCGCATCACGTGAGACCACGCGAGAGTAACCCTATCTCTTTTCTCACCACCTTTTTCCCCTTCACAATCACAAGCGAAACAAATCCAAATCGAGAGAGGGTGGCGGCGGCAACTAGCGCGCAAGGGGGCGGCGGCGCAGAGAGGGCGGCGGCGCCGGCGTCGTGCCACGGGCCCTGCTGCGCCTCCTCCTTCCAGTCCCACGGCCGGAACTCCCGCCTCTCCCGCCCCGTCAGCTCCCCCTCACCTCCATAGCCAAGGTAATGAAACCCTAGCTATGTACCATATCTGCTATTTTGTTTATAATGCTAGATCTGTGCGACTCCGTTTGCATGAATGCCCTTGCTGTCCACAACTTCTGTTCAAGCACATTGCAATATTTTTGTTTCATCAATTACACAATAGTTATTTTCATGATAGGAACAAGTATTAGTATGTGAATTGGGCAAGTATTAGTTCCCTGATGGGAAGGGAACAAGTATTAGTATGTGATTTGGGGTTTCATCAATTTTTATATAGCAGTTATTTTCTTGATGGGAACAAGTATTAGTATGTGATTTGGGGTTTCATCAATTTTTACATAGTACTTATTTTCCTGATGGAAACAAGTATTAGTATGTAATTTGGGCAAGTAGTTTATGATGAGATGATTTATGCTTGAGAATGACATGGCAATGTGTTTAATTTTCTTTGATTGTTGTTGTAGATGGATAAGAGGACCAAGATTTTAATTTTTGCTGCTGCTGCCAATCTATTGTTGTCAATGATGGCCATGATTATTCATTCTAGGAAAAGAAAGAGAGTTTCTAGGAGGGAAGGTGTTAAATATGGCCCAATTGTTGAAAGGGATAGGATGAGAATTGAGTATCTAAACACAAAAATTTGGAGGAACGATACCACATGTGTCGACATGCTTAGACTTAGAAAAGATTATTTCTTTCGGTTTTGTAAGCTCTTTAGAAATCGTGGTTTGCTTGAAGATACCATCCACATGTCTATTGAGGAACAAGTAGCTATGTTTATAAATACAGTAGGGCACAATCTTAGAAATAGATTAGTTCGCACTAATTTTGATAGGTCCGGAGAAACAGTTAGTCGTTATTTCAACAAAGTGTTTCATGCTGTTGGTGAGCTGCGAGATGAACTAATTAGGCCTCCCTCATTGGACACCCCAAGTAAAATTACCGGGAACCCTAGGTGGGATCCTTACTTTAAGGTGTGAGATTAATCCGTGTCTCATTTTCAATTATATATTTGAACAAACCTCAATGTGCCCTAATCTTTTATGGTGTTGAATATAAAATAGGATTGTATTGGAGCTATTGATGGCGCACATATTAGAGCCTCTGTTGAGAAGAATATGGAGCCCTATTTTCGTGGTAGGAAGTCTCATGCCACGCAAAATGTAATGGCAGCTATAGATTTTGATCTTCGGTTCACTTATGTCTTGGCTGGTTAGGAGGGTACAGCACATGATGTTGTAGTTTTAAGAGATGCATTGGAACGTGAAAATGGCCTTCTTGTACCCCAAGGTAATAGAACAATTTAGTTCATCATTTTCTCCATCTCAATAGAAATGTGACCAACTTCTCCATCATATGATAGGAAAATTCTACCTAGTTGATGCTGGATATGGAGCCAAACCAGGATTCCTCCCTCCATTTCGTGCTGTCCGGTACCACTTGAAAGAGTGGGGGAATAATCCGGTGCAAAATGAGAAGGAGTTGTTCAACCTTAGGCACTCGTCCCTTCGTGTCACAGTTGAACGTGCATTTGGGGTACTAAAGAGGAGGTTCAAAATTCTAGATGATGCCACCCCATTCTTCCCTTATCCAACTCAAGTAGATATTGTTGTAGCTTGTTGCATTATTCATAATTGGGTCATAAATGATGGAATTGATCAGTTTATTACAGATCCATTAGATTTAATAAGTGAGACCACAACAGAGCCATTTGGGCAAGCAAATGACCATGCATTGATGGTTCAGTTCAGACAAGGACTTGCTGATGACATGTGGGCTAACCGTCAAAACCATCATGGGAACTAATACATAGCTGTATTTCTAGTACTTGTGCATGTTATCCTGGATTTTATGGAGATTTTGTCCAAGTAATTTCATATGTGAGGTAACCTCACCAGGAGATATCTCCACCAAAACAACCCACATTTATCCCTCCATCCAAACAGAGGATAGAACCATTCTGACCCACCATATCCCTCAAACCAAACAAAAAACAGGGTCCGTTCTATCCCTCCAACCAAACAGAAACTGGGTCCAACCCATCCCAAATAACAGGAATGGACCTAACCCATCCCACCATATCCCCCAACCAAACACATGCTAATAGTTTTGCAGTCACATGGTGGGCTTTTATTGTGCTTAGTTCATCCGTTTCTCGAGGAAGGAAACATTAAACCCAGCTTAGATTGGGCCATATCCTGTTGATGGACCTGAACACGCAAGGAGAATCTCATGGGCTGGCATCAAATTTCATCAGCCCTACACACCGCGCTGGATTAGTTTCGACCAGAGAGATTGTGATTGTCCCTCAAAATTAACAAAGAGGATTATATTAGGGGAGATAGCCCTAATAAATGGGGATGCATGTGAACAACTAATCCAGCTCGATCCGCATCAACTAACGAATTAAAGACGACTCGTATTCGCATTCGCATTCGCATTCGCATCCGCATCGCATCGGTTTGCTGCAAAAACAGGAGCAGCTAGCAATTAAAGTCGTTACGTTAGCGATGAACATACTCAAAACAAACATGGAAACCGTACACAGCAAGAAACAACGCCTCGCCCGCCAAGAAACGCCGACACACACACACACCACTCCAACCCCAACTCGGCTAAAAATACACAGCTGATATATACTACTGCTAGTATAAGTAGACTGTCTACTAGTAGTAGTACTGGTAGAGAACAAACTCGTCCCCGTGCGTCTGAAGGAAACCAACCTGCAGACGACCACGAACGAACGTACGAACAGATCGATCGCCGAGACGAAGAAGACGACGGCGCGGTCTCCCGTGCGCACGGGGCTAGTAGCTTGCATGGTGTTTCGTCTCGTTAATTTTTACTTACCTCGGAAACCTGCAGCGAACCACGTACCAAGGGCGAGTTGGGGGGGAGATGGAGTGATAAACAAGAAGCGAGCGGCAGAAGCAAGCAGGGACAGACAGATTTGCAACTGGTATGTCCTAAACAAACAAGATTTTCTTTCCTCGATCGAATATAGTAGTATCACTGTGCTGGAGTACTACCACCTTCATTGATGAAAGCCTGTCTCGAATTTGGAAAACAGTACTGGTAACTGCATGCTGCCTTTCAAGGTTAAGAAATCTCACAAAATGCATCCTTCAGTAGTGCAAGGGGATGCAACTGGTTTGGTCATATGGGAAGAATTGGACTGGGACAAAAATTCGCCATTGTCTGTGGGGGGGAATGCACGAATACAATTCGATCATATACTAATCATCATCAAGACCACACATCTGATTGTACAATACTACCATGGCGGCTTATGTCAGGCCTTGTTTTTGTCGCAGAAGCAGGAGCCCAATATCCCTCTCTCTCTCTCTCTCTCTCTCTCTCTCTCTCTCTCTCTCTCTCTCTCTGTTTTTTATACTTTTTATCAGGTGAAGATTCAGAAAAGAGGAAAAAAAATGCTGCTTTTGCATGCACTAAGGGCCTGTTTAGATCAAAACCTCAAGCTACAGGCCTTGAGGTTTCAGGTGTTTTTTGCTTTGAGAGGTTCCACACTTTTATCAGGTGGAGATGATGATTTTTATCTTTGGTGGTGTTGGTGCTGGACAGACAGACATGGGAAAGCCTGCTGATTGGGGAGAGACCGAATTGGCCGTGCAAGAGCATAGAGTAGTAGATGTAATCCGAATAATGAACCACTGGTTTGTGCAGGGAAATATCGGATTAGTCTCGGGTGATAAGAAAGCCAAGAAAAAATTGGATACCTCGTCTCGAATAATTAATTATCCGTATCCCTTTCGTTTTCTGGCCATCGGAGATGGTAGCGACGGCATAGTCTCCATCCATCTGTAGCTGTAGTCGCAGCTATGCGTTGGACGTAGCACATCCATCGTCCATCCGTCTATTCTGCTGGAAATGCATGCTAGGTACCTCCATCCTATTTTTTTAAGTGTAGGTATAGTTTTTCATGCTTAACTTTAACCGTTCATCTTATTTAATAAAAAATAAAAACATATGTCACGAGTAAGGTATTATTCTTGTTTTATCATCTTATAACAATAAAAACACTAATTATATAAAAAAAATTAAATAGTGATCAAAATTGAGCGCGGAAAATTATGGTTGCACTTAAAATGAGACGGAGGGAGTAATTTTTCATCACCCAAGACATTTCGATAGAATGATAGTACTGAGATATACTTCCTCCGTCCCAAAATGTAAGTATTTTTTAGGTTGGCATGAGTATTAAGAAAGTAGGTGAGAATGATTGAAAAAGTTGTGTGATTGGTTGAAAAGAGAAAGTAGGTGAAAAAGAATGATTGTGATAGGTTGACAGGAGAAGGTAGGTAGAAAAATAGCTTCATTTTAGGACAAACTACTGTGCTAGAAATAGCTACATTTTAGGACGTAGTTAGTATTGCGACTAATTGACGTGGATCTATACACACACGTATGCAGAGTTATCTTACGTTGCTCTCCGTACTGGTGCCTGTCCTGTCGCCGGAAAATTTATGCCGGCAGCTTCATCACGTAGGAGTAGTACGTACGTCGCCACACATGAGCATGCAGCCGCTGTGGCCAATAACAACGCCATGGATTAGATCTCGCATGCATGGTCACAAATCAACTAATAACAGGGGTGTTTGATCGATCCATCCATCCGTATACATTGCATGCGAGATGTACTATACATAGACAAACAATAATACTTGTACACACTTATGTCTTAAAAAAAAAGAAGGAATACTTGTAGTAGTATTGAATCAGGGTGAGCGAGAGGGGGACAAACCGGAGATGGGCACAGGGCAGTGGGCACATGGGGAGCACATGCAAAGCCCCATCTCTCTCGACTCGACCACGGTGCCAATGTATCATACACACACTAGTACTAGTATCAAAATACTCCTCCTGTAGTGTACCCTCCAGTGAGGTGCCACACAACAACATGGCACGCACACGCACACTTGCCAAGCAAATGGACGGATATATTTTCATTAAAAATATTTCATTGATAGAGAAAAGCTTGGATTAATTAACCAGCCCAAGCGTGGCCAACCCTGTCTGCTGCCCATCGATGCTTTGACTATTCAGCCATTCAGGAAAGGCCACTGTGCCTTTCTCCTGCAAACTGCAAAGCCACGGATACGTACCATCCAGCCGGTCTGCTCTCCTGATGTGCTGAATCTGTTAATTGATTAGGGTTTGTTTAGGGAGTTTAAGATTCTGAAAAGCAGCTGGTTGGTAGTTAGCTTCTGATAATCTGAAACTTTTAGTTTATTTTTTTATTCTACTTCTACAACTTCTCATAATGTGAACCAAAAACTAAACTGTTCAGCTAGAAGCTCTCTAAGCAGAGCCTAAGGCAGGGTGATTACCTGCAAATTGCCCTCGTTTGACTGGTCCACACTAGTAATTGAAAGATGGATCGATGATGCGCCCCTCTGCAAGCATTCACGTGCATCCGAACAGCGGACACGCCCAAAAGTTACGGCCTTTTTACTAGTACTAGTGATTACTGTAGTATACTACTATACAGCGAGTAGGAGTAGGTGCAATGCATTGCATGCGTCTGATTGAAAAGAGGACAAAGGGAAAAAGTTACTACGTGTACAGGTACACCGTACACGTACAGTGCAGTAGCTGGGGGCGGGTAGCTGGCTGCTGCAACAAATCTGGGATGGGATGCGATGCGATGAGACGAGACGATGTGCTCCGCGGAAATCCGGCAGCAAATGGGCCCGGCCCAGTGTAGCGTCCTTGTCGGATGCACGCACACACAGCGGCACGGACACGTGGGCGTCACCCACGCCTGACATCCTGGGCCCCACACCCACGCTTGCTTCCCCCCACCCCCTTTTCCCGATCTACCACACCGGCGCTGCGGTGAAAACGCGAATGGATTAATTTTTTTTACTACTTTGACCTGGGCTTTATTCATAGGATGATTGGCACTGCGAATGTAGGGAGCAAACCTACCACTGCTGCTGCAACAAGTTTATTTACAGGAGATCACAATAATGGGAGTAGAAGTAGTAGAACTTCCCTATAAGTTTCTATATCTAATTTTGATCGTTTTATCTTATTTTAATTTTTTTAATAATTAGTATTTTTATTATTATTAGATGATTTATAAAATAAATAAATAAGATAGATGATTAAAGTTAGACACCAACACTTATAGCTGTGTTAAAATGGGATTGAGGGAGTGATAACTTGTTTGTGTGGGTTTTTCTTGGGAGTATTTTAATTGTACCGTCGTATTCACGTCCATTTCTTTTTTATTACTGGATGTTGACGCTGGGGGTGGCTGTTGGCACTAGCATCCCCAAAAGCATGTCACCAAAGGTGCCACTTTTACGCCTTCCCTCTTCTTTATCCTTAATAATGCGTTATTACCACTAGCAGAGCTACTATGCCCATTTATTTATTCTCCTAAAATTCCCATTTTCGACCGAATCTTCTTTTAGAAAGAGTGGGAACATATATGTAGTCCTACTCACCTTGGAGGCAGCAGTAGAAAATTAGGCGGCATCATAATGGTAAAAACCAAAGCTAACCTATTTCTAAAAATTTTATCTTCCCTTTCTTCTTTCTATGACAGTCAACTACAGTGGACAAAGTACTAAAAATGAAAATTAGCAAGAAAAAAAACATCAGTTCTTAAATAATACCAAATCTAAAGTGGTAATATTAAACATCCAGCCGCATAAATCTCGGATTACCCTACGATCTCTAATACTCTACTCTCCCAAAGGTAAACAATACCCAAGCCCTAACGCCGTCAGTCCCCACCCCCGCGCCACCGCTGGCGCCGGCGACGGCAAGAACAACTCAAGCCTCGCCGCCGCCGCCGTTCCTCTCCGTATCCGACCCCCACCCCGGCACCAGCACCGCCCCATGGAGGCGGCCACCGTCGCCGGAGAAGGTGAATCTCAACGCAATTGGGACAGGTGAGTGATTCAACTCATTCAGAGAAATACATATGGTATGAGGCGAAGGCCATGAAGAAATTATAAAAGAAAAAAAGAAACTTCCTTTTTTTTTCTTGTATTGGGACTGCATTTGCTGATCAGGGGGACCATGAACACCAACGCTGACACATCTCCACATTGGCACAACAGAATGGTGCAGCATCAGCAGTGAGTGGTCCTTCCCCTTTCATCACACCTACACTGACTGACTTGTTCATCTTCTTGTGATTTTACATACACTACACTAGCTAATTAAGCCTTCCTCTCTCTCTCTCTCTCTCTCACTCAAACCTGTCACTTGTTCTTGGGTCCATTACATATCTGCTGTACTCACTGCCTTGCACACAGCTGCAATCAGGCAGTAGTAGTGTTACATGTATCTTGTGGTTGGTACTAGTACTAGTCTTGTGGCTAAACATCACCCCTAATGCTATAAAACTAGTGGCTATTTTGGTGGTAGCTTATCAAGAGCTTTGGGGGGTAATTCATCAATGGTGGTGGGTCGGTGGGTGGTAATAGTAACTAAGATTAACTAAGGTGATATGATATGGTAGTAATAGGAGGGGCTCTAAATTTTTATCTGAATGGCACTGCATTTTAAAACATTGGTGGTGTGGTTGGTGGTGGCTTGATTGATGCTGCTGCTGCTGCTTCTCTTCTGGAGGCCAGGGCATCCTCTTTCTTCTCTTTATGGTTTAATAAAGCTATCTTCTTGAAAAATGAAAAAGAAAAGGAAAGTAAAAAAAAAGGGGGGTGACTGAAACTAACACTATGCTGCAACTTCTCCACTCTTTTCCTATATTCCACTATTCTCTTTTTCTTTGCTGCTAGTATTCCTGCAAGGGGCAAGTGATGGCAAGGACAGAGGAAAAGAGAGTAAGGCACCATCATTCCAATGGGGGGTGAAAAGCAAATGATTCAATACTAGGAAGCATGGAGTTGAGAGCTTGATATAGACTTTGTGGAAAGGCAAGAGGACTGAGGTGCTTACTAGGATTAGGCAGTAGTAGTATTACTCACTTCCATTCAGAACAACTTTACATTCCGATCGCGCCGTGATCGGAGGCCAGCCTGCATGCATATGAATGAATGATAGCACTCAGCAAATCATGGCGCCCAGATGCATACTGTACTAATTTGCAATACTAAAATAGCACTTGGGGCCATACATTATTATGATGCATACCTGGACATGGGGAAGAAATAAGGTTTTGGTGAGGGCATGTCCAAGGCAGAAGGTAGGAGATGGTTAGTGCCGCCATTGCTGGCGCCATTGTTGATGCCAACATAGGTGGCGCTACAACCAGTCGACGCGGTGGCGGAGATCTCCGCCTCAGTGGGAGCGAAAGGATCGCGAGCAAATCCCGCGGACTTGGTCGGCGACGCAAACGGGCTGTCCGGCAGATTATGCTCCACACTGCCAAAGAGAGCAAGCACAATGGGCAGAGGAAAAAAGATCAGTTTGGTGAAATGTTACTTGTCTGCATTGCTGGACGAAAGCTAAGTGTGGCGAAAATAACAAATGATTAAATGATGACGATGAGACAATATGTTAATCGCAAAATTCCACCTTTGGTCACTGTCTGTGTTAGGGCTGGAGGACTCTCCGGTGGATTCCTCCTTATCGGCTCCGTTGACCGCCTTCTTGTGAGCAAGAAGGAAGCCGCTTCCCTTACCGAGCTCCCCTATAAGCAAGCAAATCCGCCATGGTAAACATTAGCAACACTGCATCTGGCGCGGCAACAGGTGAAACGTCGTTCGGTCGGATACACCAGGTCCTACCGGAATCGGGAGGCGACTCGCCGGTCGCGTTGGCGGCGGTCTGAGAAGCGCTGAAAGGATTGCCAATGGGGGTCGGCGCCGCGGCGGCGCGCGACTTGAAGTCTAGCAGCTGCAGCCCCATGAGGCGGCGGCTGTGGAGCTCGATCGCCTGCTGCAGCTCGGCGGCCTGCTGCTGCTCCTCCAGCTTCCTCCTCAGCAGCATCTCATTCGCGCTGTTGGAGTGCTGCAGCATTCTCGCACCTGACACCATTACAAACAGACTCATGCGATTTCAGCAACAATCATTCACCCAATCACCATGAAGAAGATGATCGCAAAAGCTCACCGAGCTGGTGCATGTCGAAGGGGTCTCTGGCATCGAGTCCAGTTGGAGTAGTGCAGCTGGAGAAGTCCACCCTCTCGCCCGGCTGGTGCTGCTTCCTGCAAAGTAACAGCAAGTTACAAATTGGTTATAGGGGATCAACCTAGAGAGGCAATGTGGACTGTAAGTAAGCTCGGCTTGCCTGTACTTGTCGGGGACCTTGCCCTTCTCCTTGTATGGCTTGACGAGCACGCGGGCGTCGCAGATGAAGTGCGGGTTGCCCTTGGCGAGAATCAGCTTCACCGTCTCCGGGTAGACGAAGGTGACGAAGCCGAACATGCGCTTCTGCTGGTACGGGATGCGAACGTCGTGGACGGGGCCGTAGATGCTTCAATTGAGAGGGCATCATCAGATTAAAGCTATGGCATGGCGGTGACGGTGGGCGGTGGGATTATAGTATACTACCTGAAGTAGTTGGAGACGTCCTCCTCGCGGAAGGTGCTATCCGCCGGGAAGGTGAGGTAAATCTGGCGCGAGCCGGGGTTCATCATGCTCGCGAAGTCGGCGCGCTCCAGCCGCGGCCGCCCCATGAACTTGTGCGCCTCGTCGCCGCCTAGCATCAGCGCCGCCGCTGCCGCCGCCCTGCAAATCGACGGAATCGGAGCTAAGTTAAAGGGATACTGGTACTCCAGGAGGAGCTCGGAGGTGGAAAAAGTTGGCACCTCTGGCTCTCGTTCTGCTGCTGCTGCTGCTGGAGGAGCAAGCTCAAACACTTGGTGGCTGCGGATGGCGAGCCGGGGAGTGAGCCGGTGGGCGAGTAGGGGAAGGCGGCGGCGGCGAGGCGCTGGGACTTGGAGCGGATGAGGAAGTCCTGACACTGCTGCTCCACGGCGGAGGGGTCCATCTTGCCGGCGGCGTCGTCGGGGAGGCCGCCGTGGACGAACCGGCAAGCGCTGCCGTTCTTGCAGTAGCCGCGCGCGTAGTAGAGGCACGGCTTCCAGCCGAGGCCGTCGGCGCCGCCGAGGCAGAGCTCGCTGACCGACGCGCTCCGGCGGTGTCCGGGGCCACCGTTCGCCCACCCTAGGTTGTAGGAGAAAAGGCCGCCGTCGCCTCCGCCGGGGCTCCGGCACTCGCCGCCGTCGAACATGGGCATCTGGTGCCCCGCGGGGACGCCGCCCTCGTTGAGGAACGCGAGCTGGTCCTGCAGCTGGAGCTCGTCCATGAGCGGGTCGCCGCCGAAGAAGGGCGATGGCGGGCCCCCGCCGTTGGCCGGGCTGATGAGCTCGTCGCCGAGGCCGACCATCTCCTCCCCGGCGCCATTGCTGATGCTGTTGTTCCTCGAAAACACCGGGGGAGGCGCCCACGAGGAGGGGGAGGACACCGAGAGCGGCGAGGGCGCGGTGCCGCAGCGCCCGGAGTTCTGCCGCGAGAGCATGAAGGGCGAGTGGGCGGCGGCCGCGGCCGCCGCCACGGAGGTGGGCGTCCCGGGCCCGGACGCCGGGAGGAGGCCGAGCTCCTTCCTGGCCTTGGCCATGACGGTGTGGAGCAGCGCCTCGGGGCCGAAAGCGAGGCGTATCATCTCCTTCTCGCCATGGTCCTGGATGAGGAGGAAGCCCATGATCTTGGCTGCGTGGTCCGGGTCGAGCGCCTGGATCCGCGAGAACACCACCTTGGTCGCCTCGTAGGCGTCCATGGCGAGCTCCACAGCAAGCAAGCAATCGAGCTTCTTCGTCCTCCTCCTCCGCTTTCTTTACCACAACACTCGTTGCTTCTTGGCTTCTTGGCTTCTTGCTCCGCTGCTGCTGCTGAGCTGTGTTCTATTACCACCACTAGAGTGTGCAGCAAAGCAAGCTCAAAGAAGAAGAAGACGAGAGAGAGATCAGTGGGAGCGGCGCCACTGAGGCAGTGAAGAGCAGAGGAAGAGCTCCATTTTCCCCCAGAGGAAGAAGAGCTCGCTCGCAGCCGAGCTAGAACAAGAAGCTAAGCTATGGCTATGTAGTAGAAGTAGTACTCGTACTAGTGCGCTGCATCCCTATCGATCTATACTACTCCTTTCTTTACTTGGCTTGCCCCTTGCTTTTGTTGGGGCCGGGGGAGTGACAGGTGATGCCACAATTTCTCCAGGGTGTTTTTCGCGAAAATGTTTTTGCATTGTAATTTTGAGCCTTCTTTCAGGGTGTTTTTGGTGAAATTTTTTGTTTTTGCTGTAAGTAATTTTGCTTTTGTTTTTGCTGCCTGATGTGAGGAGGATGGGTGCGTGGAGCGTTGGATAGATCTGGATCTCCGTGGACCCCATTTTTATACATGTCGAGCTCCAGCTCCAGCTCCTCCAGCTGAGCTCGGCTCGATCCGCTCCAGTGCACTCCAGCCTCTAGCTCCATCACTCTCTTCCTCTTACTGTACACTGGCAGTAGTAGTACGAGTATTTACGTTGTACGAGCAAGAAGATGGAGATTTAATTGCGCCAGTCTACTGCAGGAGGATCCGTACGGTAATAAAAGGGGAATACGAGACGAGTATTTACGTTGTACGAGCAAGAAGATGGAGATTTAATTGCGCCAGTCTACTGCAGGAGGATCCGTACGGTAATAAAAGGGGAATACGAGAATAATGAGGTAACAAAATAGGGGAATTAGTCTGGTTTAGTTATCAATTTTTTTTCCAAAAACATATGTATTAAATATAGATAAAAATAAAAAGTAATTACATAGTTTACATGAAAATTGCGAGACGAATCTTTTAAGTCTAATTAGTCCATAATTAGCCATAAGTGCTACAGTAACTCACATATGCTAATGACGTATTAATTAGGCTAAAAAAATTCATCTCACGGTTTTAAGAAGAGTTATGAAATTATTTTTTCATTCGTGTAGAAAACTTCTTCCGACGTCCGATCAAACATCCCACGTCAGATACATGATTTTGAGCTTTTTGGTGATGAGTGACACGGCCGTAATATGGGGTGCTGACCGGGAGGGACCCACACGAGGTGAGGGGAGCGTTTCTCGAGGCTGCAGCAGCCACCGTCCCGTTCCTCTTTGTCCTTTCTGCCCACTGCGCTGCCGCTGCTGCTGCAAAAAAACCGCAGGGCCGCTGCAGCGAGATGAGATGAGGGCCTTTCACGATAAGATGGCACACTTCCCCATGAGAAATCATATTTATCGACATGAGGTTGGATTATCTTAAACCCCGTCTCTGTCCCCAGGGATACTGTTTCACACGCTGCGACGCCATTTGCCTCTCTTTTTTTATGCCTTCAAACTGCGGGTTTCCCCGTAAGAATGGCCTTGTCTCACCATTTTTTTAACTGTAGATGGGTGTCTCTCTGAAAAATGAACTGCTACAGTGGATACGAGATGGCGATCAGAAGAGAGAGTTCATTCAGATTTCAGACAAAAGAAAAAAAGAAGGAAAGCATAATCCATCTCAACTCTTCACGCGAGTTTGAGTTTAGTACTACTAATGAGGGATTAGGAAGTGCATATGATCCGGTTGGAATTGGAATTATGCAGGGGTGGTGTGGGTTGAGGGGGGAGGAATTGCAAAAAATGCAATGGCTGCGTCTGATTTCCCTGTCAAACAAACACGGTCGCTTTCGGTCCGTCGCCACAGAAGCGCGTCCTATCATGCACAAATCCAATAAACAAATGACGGGGGATAATTTCGACATCACTTTCCCCAGGGACCCACTGCACGGGTGGGGCCCCACCTGTTTTGTTTCTTTGTTGTTGGGTGGACGACGCTGCTGTCTTTGTGATCAGGGCACTCTATTTCCATTTCCATTTCCCTCCCTCGAGTAAATCGGCTTTACATGCATGATACGCAGTTGCCACGTCAACCACAGCAGGTGACATTACCATTTCAGCAAGGCCAGGGCGTCTATTGTGATCAATTCATGTAGGGCCTTATCGTTTGGCTTTTTTCTAATAAGCTAAGCTTATTAGAGAATAAATAAAACTTTTATATATGTGTTCTTGGTGACTTAAAAGCTAATACTGAAAAAAAAACTACGTTAAAAATATCTCAAAATTAATGTCAAAATTAAGTTTGAAAATTTAAATTAGCTTTTTCTTTGAGTGAATATGCCATTCGATGGGAGCTGTAGTACTTCAGTACTATTGTTCTCTTGCTCCCGAAATATAGCAGCTACTCGTTTAACAATGAATCTGAATAGAAAAGAAAGACGATTGCATAGTATCAAACCACGAGAACATAAGATATGGTGTAAGCTTACATGAAGAAAAACTGATATAATCTGTTGTCGTACCAGAGCCGCCTTATGCCCGTGTCACCGTCATTCTCCCGACGATCTCCTGATTATGACATTATCCTATTTCTTAATCATGCGATCTCAATTCGTGATTATCACATCGTAGCTCACTGACCTCAATGGTCGAGGAGAAGAGCAATGATGAGTGTGAGGTTAGCTCTTCTCTATGAAGGCCTATGAGCATACTCCTATCTTTTGGATGTTGCTCATGTAGATTTAAGATGTACCGGATTCAATATCCTGATTTTTAATGTGTGGCTATCCTATTGGGTGAACCTGTAACACTTAAATAAACATGTGTACATTTTTACAATTTCCACCTTACCTTATTATTCATCATTTAATCATTATCCTAGCTCTCAATCTCTATTACGCCACCCGCACACTAGGTACTATCCCTTATTTTTCAACAACGCTCCTACATCAAACCATAACAGTTTATAATTTGATCTTCAAATCGCATGATTTTCATGCTCCCCTCCTTTTTTTCCATGTCGCAACATTGTATTGATGGCCTTGGAAGAATAACCATCAATCGGTTATCATCGTCTCTGCACCATGTTAATCTGTTTCTAATTGTCTCATCAACTGTTTGTTGCTAACTTTCTTGTTGCCTCCATTGATCCAAGGCACATCCTTTTTCTACTAATCTACTAATCTATAATGCCACATTTCTTCCCATCATCACTTGCGCAAACTATAAGGTCAGTGCACATATGTGGCATTCGATCAACCCATGATAATAGAAGATTCTCTAGCAGCTTGGCTCGGAGTGGGGCCGAACGAGATTTGTAACCTAAACTGGGCACACGCTCTTTGTCAGAAAAGCTATCGTGCGGCATGAGTGAGAATAGCGCGGCCACGCTGTGGGGGTCGTGGCCATGCGCTTTCATGGCCTTGTGCAACGCCTCAACTCTACACCCCATGCGAGGCTACAACGGTCATCATTGGAGAGAGTAGTTGCCGCACCCGCTCGAACCCTAGCCAGCAAGCTTGTCGTTCTCCTCTCCACGCCGCTAAGCTCATCGGCCTGTCTCCCCGATCTGTGCTAGAGAGGGACGCCACATTGATGTCTAAGGTGAGAAGGGAGAGGCCGTCGTGAATGGCCTAACCCAAACTCTAGGTATTTGGTGTCGGTCATGAAAAATAGATAACGATAACTAGTTTGATGAAAGAGGATATGTGTCTATATTTTATTATGTGTTTACTAATTACTCTACTTTAGAATATAAGATTTTAAGCTATATAAAAATAGTTATACTTTAAAACTGAAGGAGTAACTAAGTAAGGTTAGATTAGACTAGATGGGGAAAGGTAGTAAATAAACAAGGTCGGGTACCACGTTGATGCAACTGGTGGACTTTTTATCAACCCGGTTAGCTTTTGGCTCATCTTTTGGCGTTCCACCGACTTTTGTGTGCGCACGCGCGTGCCTGTGCGTGCGCCTTTGCATGGCATGCCATGCCATGGTGCGTGTGTTTGTGCGAGCGAAGGCTGCAGGTTTGCTACTACCAATCTACCATGGCAAATTTGGCATGACGGAACGGAAGCGACAGATAATACAGAGGCCACACACAGCAGATACTACAGATTGCTCGCCTTTCGCCTTTCGCTCGCTTTTGTTGCACCGTCGTTTTCAGCCGCAGCAGTCGCAGCTTTGTTCTTGCCTACTGTACGAGTACTACTCCACTTCACTTCCTCAGCTTCTGCTTCTACGTACTGTAGTACTAGTACCTCGTATACTAGTATAGAAGATTTTCCATACGAATTCTCTCCCAAATCGTTTTCGTCTCCACCAAACGGAAGAATCCAATTTAACACCACCCGGATGCTCCATCGGCACGGCAGGTAGCAGTAATTACTAGCATAGCTAATGGAAGTACTCTTGGGTTTTAACCTCTCACTGTCATCAAGAATCCCTTGACTCGTTTCCTAAGCGTACGGGCTTTACCCTGACCGACGAGTCAACATGCATTTACCTCCCTGTTTTGGCGGTGAAAAACTCTGAATCAGGACTAGTAGTAACATCTTCTTCGTCAGAATGTCGGACATTCGGAGCGGTCTCACTGTTAACTGCTTGTGTCATCGGAGCAGGTACAATAACAGACTATAAGTAAGCTATAAACATATTTTAAAGAAATAAAAAAAAGAAAGAAAAGAACAGCGGGCTACAGATCTGTAACCAGCTGCAGCACAGACTCCAAGACGTAATATGTGTATGATAGGTGGGACCAGATATTAATACTATCATAAGCAACTATTGTATGAATTGACTATTACATTGGCTATAGATAATTTAGAGCTAGTAGTAGACTACACTATTAAACTTGCTCTTAGCACATAGTATACTGCTTGTCTGATTCAATTTTGTGCTGGCGAGAGCGTCCGTAGAAATGTTGAATACTCCTGCTACTACGACTCCTATACAATGGAACTGATGAGAGATAGGATCATTTGTCGTCTTGTTCAGATTCACTCTACCAACATGTTTCTTTTGAGTTTTGAACATGACCAGTAATCACTGTACTGTAGTGCGGGGGTACTATAGCCACTTAGCGTGAGAATTAGCCTAACCAATGCATGGAACAGACAAAACAAATCAATACGGTATCATTGGGCATATGTTGTCTCGGTCGTCGAAATTTCACCAACAGTTCGCAGGATTTAATCCCATTCTGACCAGAATCCTAAGATCAAGTTTAATAGTATAGCTAATTATTTGCTCCAAATCACATATAGTCAATTTAATAGACAATTCATACAATAGTTACTTATAAGAGCAGGTACAATAGCAGGCTATAAGCCAGCTGCAAATATATTTTAAGGAGATAAATGAAGAGAGAGAATATCAGCGGGCTACAGATTTGTAGCCAGCTATAGCACGGACTCCAAGACACAGTATGTGTATGACAGATG